GCCTGCACAGTTCACTTTATTTCAAGAAATCAATTTATGCTCATACATGTGAGAGAAGAAGCAGCCTCATACCTTTGGGTAGAAAACTCCAGCGTGTTGCAGGGCTCTGTTGTGTTGATGCTTTCAGTAAACACCATCCCTGGGGAATATCTTTTTTTGCCTGCAGGTTTATGTAATAGGAGAGAATAGAAACCAGCTATCCTGGTAATCCAAAAATACTTCCCCTTTAGAGGAAAGGATAGTATAAAATGCAGATTTAATACATATGTTAAATAAATACAAAATAATAAATACAAAATTTAATGCTCCTCTAGCCACTAATATTTCACCAAACGCATGGATCAAACCTTGTTTTTAACCACCACTCCTCCCTTCTTTGACTCAAGACTTTGGGAAAAATCCTGCACTTTCACATATACAGGGCCAGAAAGGATAGAGGACTATACGAATCAGAAAAGGGCAGGCAAAGGGAAGCAATACCTGAGAGAAGGATTGCAAAGACCAAGCGCTGCACAAGAAGCCCCCAGCTTTAATTCAGCTTGCTTAAACTTTCCTTCACTTGTGGAAAGCATTAATATACGCGTGTGTATATATAGACATACATATATATGTGCACAGGTGTAATCACATGTTCAATCAGGCCTTGATTTTAATGTGACTCAGTAGATGGCACAGCTTGCAATTTGTACTTTAATGAGGAAATCTGCTCTATATTACCCAGAGCAGATGATTAGCAGCTGTTTCCATGAAGACCTGCATTTTGTTGCACCTCCTGCCTGATGTACCACGTCAAGTTTAAACACAGTGGTGCTTCTTCCTTTTCCCGGTAATTAGGGATGTGGCTGGTAACATTTTCCTACCAGGAGCTGAGTTCCTATGTCACTGTGGCTCCCTCCATACCTGTGCAGGGGTGACCTCATACACATCACACAGCTGTGGAGACACCACCTCCTTGTAAGCCTTTCACTGATTTCACCATTTTGTTCCTTTTAGCTTGTAGTTGGTGGGGGAAGGGAAATACCTAGCTCAGTCTGCCAACCAGCCATCCAAATAGTGTAAAAAATTACTAATTCCTGGATCCTTGCTTTATAAGCATTTGAGTATGTCTCCCTCTTGCACAGTTTGGACTCTTAAAGATTAGCCTGAACAGCAGCACACATGGATTTGAACCTTGCACTGAGAAACCAACAACTACTTCTTTGGAGGATTTCTTTTCTCCACTTTCCTGCAACACAGCTAAAAGCCACATCCACTGTACTTCCATCCTTCTACTCTTTCACCTTAAACGTAGGGGGATTCCTTCTGTCTCTCTCCTAACTGTACCCTGGGGCTTACAAGCCCAGCCAGGCTGTTACATGCTGTGACCATGGTACATCTTCTGCCCTCCCCCCTCATGCACATCCTGGGTTCAGGATGGAAAGCTTGTCACAGGAGGCTCCCCCCTTCCCAAAGTGTCAGCAGACGTGTCTGCTGCTCTACCAACCTACCAGTAAAACCAGGCAAGTTTTCATGGACCCTTTGTTAGACATGGCAGAGACGACATTCTATGGCAGAGACGACATTCTATGGCATAGGAAGATTACAAAATGCTTTGTTGGATTATATCAAATATTAGTTAACTTGTGGCAGACCAACTTCTCTGTTCCCAACACAGACACATCAAGGTAAAGAAGGCAAAGAAAAAAAGAAAACACAGATATTTGTGCATTCCAGCACAGTGGTTTATCTAGTTTGAGACCATTTCCCAGAGGCCTGAAATGCTCTTTGCTTTGGTGGAACATTTACTGCCACTTGCAGAAAGTCTCTGGGACACTTCATGTTGATATCTCCCCTGCACAAAAGGTGAAGCATAAAGGTGTAGCTCTCAAACTGGAAGGAAATCTTTGGGATCTGAAGGGGGGAAATAACATGGTAGCTGTTAATTAATGTAATTAGTGATTCTTTAGATATTCTAACAACATTGCCTCTCTAAGATCTGGGAAAGCTGAGTTTAGCTGGTTTGTTTGCCAGACAGAGTGAACTCACTGAAAGGAGTGAAAGTGGGTGTTTAAATTTCAGTGGAGCATGGGGATTTCAGTCTGACTATGCCTTGTTCACTCCCTGTCACAGACTTCGCAGCAGCTTGGCTTTCTGGGGATTTGCCGAGGGTGGTACTTTTGTTCAAATGCAGGGCTAATTGTGAGGAGAGGAGTGGGCGTGCATGAGAGGAGCTGTGAAGGAAAGTGCGTCACTAAGCTGTAAAGCTATCAAGCAAAAAAGAGGATAGCAGGAAAATGGAGAATGCCATCAGGGTGGCAGTGGTGTCCACCAGTCAGGGTGAGAAGTCTAAAGGCAACAAGATGGAGCCTGGGAGGTGTCTGGAGGCACCAGCAAAGTCCAAAGGGCCCCCAATGGAAAGCTTTGATCCTTGAAAAATATGACCTGGTCAGCAGAATGGGAGACAAAATTTGTGATTAACTGCGTGGCACTATCCTTGCATGGGCAGTTCTGTGTGCTCATAGCCCCAGGCGAAATCGCTGACTCCTCTGGTGCCTCACTGAAAGAAGAAAACCATGCAAGATTTTGGTGGCTTGAGCTTTTACAGGGAAAGTGAATCACAGGAGCGCAGGGACCTCCTCTGAAAATTGCTAGAGGTTATTCCATATATATAGAGCAGATTTATGAGAATTGTGTGCCTAGAGATTCTCTAAGTCCAGAGAGCAATGTGTTGGCCAACTGGGTTGCAGTGGTGACCTTCTCCATGGTTCTAATTCAGTACCATCTTCCTGAATCATAATTTTATACAGAGTAGCCATCCCTTGATCCATGTAAATACCAACGTTAACTGTTTCTCTCTGGTCCCTTTATTGTCAAGTGTGTGGTACTCTTATTTGTTGCTCTTAAGATCTTGGTTTATAAGAGGGAAATAATGGAAAAATGGAACCAGGAGGTGATAACACTTAGTACATCACAGAGCTCAGTGCATGCTCTTTTCAACAACAAATGACAACCCACTGTAAGAAATCCCACCAGTTTTTCCTGAATGCCAAGAACCCAAACCATTCCTCACCAGAGTTTCACCCACTCAGCCATAATCTCCATCTCTCTCTCCTGAGAAAATTTAAAAGTAGATACAAACATTTACTGCATTCTAAGAAGTGAGGACAAAGTACAAAAAGTTCAGAAACTTCTCCTATGGAAAGCAGAATAATGGAATATAATGACATTTACATGTATTCTTTATCTCCTGAATTTAATGCAAATGTCTTTGCATTTACTTGGAGACAGCAGGAGCTTCATTGTTACCAAGCGTAGTGCCAGTGTATTCTTGCATTTGGGAGATATGGTTCTGAATTTAGATCCTATGTGTTGCAGAGTTTGTGCAGCTTTATTTCTGCTCCAGAGTTAGAGTTGTTCAGGTTTGGGTGGCACTGGGGATAAAATTACTGCTTCAGAGAAGAGACCTTTCTTTTCAGCAGTGTGTGGAAACAGCAACCCAGCAGTGTATTCTGAGGAACAGGAAAGATGCAACTTGTGACTCAGCAGCCAAGTGAGGGTGAAAAACAACTGCTGCGTTGGCTGCTGTTCTGAGGTCATCTGCAAATCCTATCAGGCCACATTTTCTACTTAAACAAGACATTAACAGAGGCCTTATTCTTCCTTAACGAGACAGCCCTGCTGTAATAGCATGGCTTGCATACAAACCCACCAATTTAAAAAAAGAAAACATGTTTTAAGCTCAGCCCTATATCTAGCAGAATACATCAGATGCTTTATGGTGCCAAGGGTTTCACCAACACCTACAGGAAATCAATCAAAGGCTCTAGCAGAAGGCTGAGGGAGGAAAGATGTGCTCGTAATCTCATTCCCCGCCTACTGAGAGCCATTGAGAGCAGCAGCACCACCACCTTCAGTGTTTATCTGGAAAATATTAAGGGCTTGGGATGTGTTTTGCATGATACCCACTGCCCTCTCCCTCACCTTGGGTGGAACAAGGCAATGTCTTGCCCTCTTTAAAGCTTCCCCAGCCTCAGCAGCAGCAAGGAATTTAAGGCATCTGCTGTTTTTCTTCCCTCCTGTTTCCTTTTTAGCAAATCCTGTTCCCTTTTTGACTTGCTGCTCATAGCTACATGACTCAGGCAGTGATGGGGTCTGGGATGGCAGCCCCAGCTGAGTGGCTGTTCTGATGCATTCCAAAGACCCTCTGTCAGTGTTCTGCTGCCTAACTCAGCCTGTCTCCTGCCCCCAGAGTCCTGTACCTCTTCCTGTGCAGTTTCAGAGCTGTTCTCATCTGGGACGGGGTTACAAGTCCGCTGTACACAGTCCCTCTGAGGCCATGTTGAGTGGTGGCTGCCTGCCCCAGGAGGTGAGCCCTGAGGAGCACCAGCCATGCAGATCCCCAGGCTAGCAGTGTGGGGAGAGAGGGCAGGACAAGCCCCCCAGCAAGGAGTTTAGACCCACAGGGGACATGTTGCTATCCAGATTTATTAAAGGCACTTGTCATCCAGGACTGAACCTTAGGGATGAACTCAAATGCTGTCCTTCACCTTGGTGTGGAGCTTTTTCCTTCCTTTTCCTTTTTAGGAAGCCATGGGTTTTTGATGGCAAGCCTGGATGTGGTGGCTGGTTGCCACTCCAGGCTCCATATCACTCTAGCAAAGTGAATGCAGGTAGCATGGAGTCAGAGTGCAGGTGCATGGAGTCAGATGGCTTCAGCAAGCCATCCCTGTACTAACCCTCTGAGTGTACAACCTTTGCTCTGTTGCTGGGGAAGAGGCACCTGAGGAAAGATCTCTTTTGCCTTGCATAACAAAAGATGAGAGAGAGAGCAACAGATGTAAAATACTCCCTGAGAAGGGTTTTCTTCCATTGCCCTTTAGCAAATCACATCAGTGTTCAGCGATATGAACTGATAGAGATCCCAAACTTCTGATCCAGTGCTGCGTGGACTTTTTAAAAAAGCATAAAAATCAAGACCACAGGAGATTTTAACCACTCTTTAAGTATTCAGCTACTGAATGTTTTGCCCTTTAGCACATTAGGTGGCTTAATAAGAAAGAAATTGACAAGAAAGAGAAATGCATATAATTTCTCTTTTCCTTTCAGTCCTGGCCACCACTGACAGTGATGAACACAGCTTGCCCACAGGGTAGCACACAATAGGAGAATTTAGGGAGATCTGTACAGGCCCACAACACTTCCATCGATAAAAATTCTCCAACTTTTCTTCTATATCTCTTCTATATCTCTTTTGAAAAAAAATTAAAATGAGTTCTTTAAAAACAACTACCAAATTAATAAACTGATGAGAGATACAGCTAGATCAGTTGCTGATCACACAATTCTTGGATTATATAAAGATCTATACAAATGCAAACACTTCTTGTGATGGGGTGAGGAGATTTGGGTTTCTGGACTTCTTGCTGAGCCTGAGGTATAGTATACTATGCCATACTGCATAGTATGGGCTCGAATGGGATGTTGCCTCAGGTAGCTCCTGGTGGGCTAGAAATATTACTTCTAAACACGAATTGTTTTCTCTTTTGGTGATCAATAAAAAAACCTCTAATCACCTGAGGATGCTGAGGTTCTTTACTTAAACGTACTTCAGTATGTGCTAAACTTTCAGCCAGTGGAAATGACTGTGTCTCGGTGCAGGGTCAGTCACAGTGTAAAATTAATGCTAAAATCAAACAACCTTCCTACAAGAGCTTTCATGAAAGCATCCTGAGGACACAGGCACCTTGAACCAGAAAAACGTACACCAGTGTGAAAGCCAAGACTGGGTGAGAGGATCCCAGGGGCTCTGGAAACAACCAGAAGGCCATGCACAGGCAGTGTCTGTTACATGAGCACTTGTGTCAGCATGCAAGGGGCAGCAGGGACAGAGCTACCTGTCCCACTGGCTGGTTGCTCCCCAAGGCTGCCCTGGCTTCTCCTAGTCACCACTCTGCTAATCCTGGCACTTGCAAAGTTTGTATGGAATTATTAAACAGTTTCCTCTAGGGAAACAGTGTATGAGAAGCTGAAGTGATTTGATGTTTTCTAAATTAAGCATTTCAGATGCTCATATCAGAGTAACACTTCATCCCCAGCTTTTGCTTTGTTTTGCTTTTAGAGAAGCAAAGCATTTCTTTTTTATTTTTCCTTTAAAATCCTTCAAGTACTAGTTAGAAAAAATATTTTTAAACCTACAATAAATAAATATTTCTTACATTTATATATTTTTGCATATTTTGTATAGTAAATGCATTGTTCATTTTTAAAAACCAAACTATGGTGCAAACAGCTCTGATTTGGTTTGCCATGCTGCCAGGTCATGAATGTGCAATCATATCCAGTCTCTAGTCTGCTGCCGAACCTTCAGGTAATAGCAGAGTTAAAAACCACCACAAGTGACAACAGTACTGACTATTGAACAACACTAGAGACTATCAAAAATAAGTGGACTTTTCTAGAAAGGAAAATTACATGTCATTCCAAAACCGCCTTCACAAGCATAATCTTGAGTGCCATTATTGTCATTTTCGGGACAAGATCTGATCTCTGATAGCTTCCTTAGCAGGATGCTTCCAGGGCTTCCTTTCCTTGTAATAATGAAGTCACCAGCACTATTTAACTGCAATACCAGAGACCTTATTTCTGGCAGTAAGTCACTCCAATATTACCACACCTTGCACTGTTTCTTTTTTTTCCCCTCATTCTCTGTGGGTCAAGATTTTACATTCTTGAAATTTTTTATCCCTTTCCTCTGAAGGCAATAGCAAGAAGGAGCAGTCACAGCACTTTTTTCTGGAACTTAGGAGGTGTTAAATATTCTCCTTATGGTCTAGTTAAACCTGTTAAATGTTTTGTGAAGGTTGATAGGTCTTCATATAATCACATTAATGATGCCTTGTTCCTTTCTCTATTTTTTCCTCCTTTTTTGTTTTTCCCTTTGTCTCATTACAGTTGAAACTATAGAGGAAAAAACAGCAGACTCCTTGCAAGATTTGTACAGAGCCTTGGAGCAGGCCAGCCTGTCTCCTTTAGGAGAACACCGGATTTCCACTAAGCTGGAATATAAGAAATCTTTTGTAAAGAGATGTAGCGATCCAGTAGTCAATGAAAAACTGCACCAGCTGCGAATTCTGAAAAGCACTTTAAAGGTGAGATAAAAGAGGGAGGAAAAATCCTACCCCAGGGTTGGATTGGGCTGTATTGTAAGCAGAGATTATTGTGTGCAGCTGGAGTCCAGGCTGAACCTGGTGTGAGAAACAAGGGAGACACAGGGGAGCACTGCTTAAAAAGCAGAGAAAAATATTCCTGGGAGAACAGTCGAAGTGAGGGGATCAGTTTTTATTTCTGCACAGGTTAAATCTCAGTCAGGTTCTCCTCTAGCTAGTTTAACAGAATTTGATACCAAATTGTTGGAGAAGACTTTAATCCTGTTTTTGTCTCTGAATATTTTCATTTACCAAAATGCACTTACCCTGTAATTGCCGAAGTCTAAAGTTAAGCAAAGCCAGCCTTTTGGAAAGGAGCAGTATCTCTTGCAAGACTCGATTATTTTCTATTTGATGAGCTTGTTCCAGGACAAAACTGTGTGCTTGCTTTCTGTGTAAGCTGGTAGAATCATTGTATTTAATCAGTAAAATTGATTAAATAAATAGTGGTAATGATAGATATGAAAATTTTTATGGTTATTTTAAATGTACCACAACTCATTTAACCTCCTTGTCAGAATCCTTTGTTTGTTACAGCATTCAATTCTGTCCTGATAGAGATTTCAGCAAACAATATGCTGGATTTCCCCAGGGACCGTGTTAGCTATATTAAATTGACATGTTTTAAGTCACCAGATAATTGTACAGTGCATTTTGTAACAGCTTTCATCAAAGAGGGCTTTATCAACATTAATTAATTTAGTTTTCCATCACCTAGAGAAGCATTTAAGCAATATTATTTTCATGCTGTGGGGCCCCCATTCTGAAAATGATCTTACGCATGCTTAACTTTCTGTACTGTATTATATCATCTCATTGAAAATCATCTCATTTGAAAGTACCTTGCACTATTATCTGGGTATGTGAGTGTTTGCAGGATTGGAGGCTGGCAGAAAAAGTCAAGATGCAGAGGCTTTCCACATGACTTCTAGAAACCTGAGAGACTGAAACAAAATCACAATACTCTCGGACACGTTAGTGTGGCAGGAGGTTCACACTGTGGCTGTGCTTTTGCACCCTGGCGGGCTCACTCATACAAAAGCTCTGGTTCAGCATCAGCAGCTTGCTGCCAGGCTGAATTGTCTGTCTTGTTGGTATTTATTGGTACCTGAGGTACATTACATCAATGGCTTCCTGCAAATGAAAGGGAAGTCCAAAACCAGCGTAACCTCTTGACCTTGTGGATGCCTGGTTTTGTGCTTCTCTGGAACTTCTTTCTTTTGGACCAAGCAAAAACAATTTGTTCATTCTCTGTCCGTGAGCCATATTTTCTAAACCTGTCGCCATTCTTGTTTATACCATGATTTGCACAACTCCTTCTTAAGTACATGACACCAATAATTGAAAACACAGTGGCAACAAGGGCCAAAGACAGATAATTACTGTTTCTTGTGTAGAACAACAATGTAGAGTGGTACATTCTTGTTTTGCAATGACATCATGGTAACTCATGATGAGTTTCTAGCTCCATTATAGCCCAGAGCTCCACCTCTGCCATACTGCAGGTAGTCATATCTACCAGTAACTCCTGCTGTTACCTAATCAGTTATGCTTTTTATCAGTGCCTTTGATTTCTCCTTCCTGAATGCAGGCAGTTGCACTGGCCTGTTGGAGCTGGTGTTCTGAACTCTCCTTGAATTTTATCCTACATAAAAGTAGCCCGAGACAGCCCTCCAAACTGCTTCTAGCTCTTGTCCCATCTTCTAAGCCCTTAATGAAAGACCCCTCTGCTCTCTTCCCTGTGATAACACAAAACTATTCTCCTACCACTGAGTATAAGCTATATGGATGGCAGTGCAGGGGTTTGGGACCAGACACAACCTGTGAGAAGTGGGTTATGGTAGTTCAAGCAGAGATGATTTCATTTCCACTGGTCATTGTCAGCTTGCTCCTCCATTTCTGAAAATGAGTATTCTGGCAGGTAGTGTTAAATAGCTGCTATTTGCAAAGCATGAAAAATACTTTTCCACATACTGCTTCTGATCTGTCCCATCAATGTGGGCTTAATATTTTCCCTTACCACACTCTCCACAAAGATTTAACATAATATGGATATGGAAGATATGAGTCAGAAATGCGGAGTGTGAAACCTGGGTGGCAGGGAGGTTAGAGGGGAGATTGCTGGTGACCATAACATTCCTGCACAGAGGACTACTGCTGGAAACCTGTGTTAGCTCTGCTTCCAAGCCTTTTGTCTGTGGCATCCAGCTTCCACCATTTTCAACAACTGGAAATGGCCACGGGTATATCTGAGGCTTACTCTGATCCATACTAGCTGCCTGTCAACTCTCTTATAAAGTAGTCACCAGAGAGTGATCATGATACAGTCACATCCCCTGCCTCAATGATGCATAAGGAGGTACCAACAGCTATGCTATATTTTACCTTTTTCTGCCTTCTCTTTGCATCTGCAGTGGTAGCAGGCAGTTGCAGTCAGCCACACCATCACATACACGAGATCTTTAGTGGAGATGAGTTGTCATTAACACTGGATTCCTTACACAAGCCTTTGCAATGTAGCTCTCAGATACCCCCATGAGAAGCCTGGTAAAAAGGCTTAGATGTGCTGGCAGGCAAAGGAGCCATGTGTCTGCATCCCGCACAGTATTTCTGAAGCTGATCAAGAGCAAACAGATGGCACTGTGTTATGTGAAACCCATCTGGAGAAATGCAAGCAGGTAATAGTAAACAGTACAGGGTTTGCTTTTTCTTGGGCTGGACAAGGGGCAAGGAGGGGGAATAGGGACTCTTTCTGAGGGTGCTGGAAAAGGCGAGGGAAGCCTTGGCCTCACAAGGTGAGGTGTGACGCCCTGTAGAAAGGGTGTCCTGTTTGTGAGCAGTCATATAGCTCATAGTCCTTGTGCTTTTAGGGCCTCTGTGGCTTGAGTTTGCACCCCTCCATTCTCTCCTTCCACCCATGTGATTGATATTTTCAGTGACTCATCACTTGTGTTAACTCTTTACTTTTTCCTCTTCTCTCACAGGCCAGGGAAGGAGAAGTAGCCATTATAGATAAAGTTCTGGATAATCCAGCTTTGACATCTAGAGACTTTCAAGAATGGAAACAAATGTACCTCGATCTCTTCACGGACATCTATCAAAGCAACACCCCGAGGGACTCTGTTAATGGCTCATCTGAGGTTGATGCCCTTATAGCCTCCTTAGCACACACTCACTCTTATATAGAAACGCATGTATAAAGGTCTCTCTTTTTGCCCATTTGCTACACTCCAGCCCTTTACTAAAGTGCATAAAGTAGTTTTTATATCCATATGTGAAAGCTCTAGTAAATTATATTTTAATGTTACTCAGCTGTGTGAAGTAAACCTTCAATGGTCAACAATTCCACTTCTTTAATGAAGATTTGTATATTTTATATGCTACCAATGCTCAGCTTGTGTTTACTTTCTGTGAATTAACAAACATGATCTTTAGCTATCAAAGAAAAGGATTTAAAAGCATTTTTGGAAGACTGTGGCCTTCATGCAGGAAGTTCCACGTGCTAAAGCTTTTGTTATTGGTCATTTTACAATGATATTTTATATTGTATAATTCCAGTATTGCATTGCATTTTTGGAGTGCAGGTACTATTTTGGTGGTGGGAGAAAACCAATTTTTATATTTAATGAGAAACTCTAGGAGTTTTATTAAATAACAGGGAAAAATGTAATGCAGTGTATATGTTTCAGTTTTGTCTAGCACAAAAAAGGGTGAAAATCAGCAGACAGAAAAGGACTAATGTGAATTTAGGTATCAAAAGGTTAGGTCTAATTTTCTTGTGCTTTTTTAAAGCCTGTTGCTGAGGTTTACCATCAGTGCAAAGGGATGATGGTTTGTATTATAATTAAAACGAAATTGTGTGTTGTCTCTTGATCACATTAGGTTGATTTAAAAAGAAAAAATTAGTCCAGGTACTGTGATTGATGACGCTTTTGCACTGAAGGTATCAGTATAATGTGCAGATTTTACAAAAGGGAAAATGTAGCCTTTGAACATCCTTGGTAGCAGCGTTTCTTTTGCCCAGAAAAGCAACAGTGGAAAAGGTTCCCAATGAAATGCTCCAAATCTGAGATGCTTTGAAAATTCCCACAATAGAAAAGAAGTGAATAGGATTTTTCAAGTAGTCTCCTATGTGTTTTCTGAGCTGTGAAATTTGGCTGTATTGTATGCAGGGAAGATGTATCATGAGAGCAGAGCTGAGCATAGAACCTGAAAAATAACTGAGGAGTGAAAAAGCCTCTGGTTTGCTTTTGAAGGGGAAGGGATGTCTCTGGGTTCTGCTGAGTTCACAAGCCAATTAAAATGTTTTAAACTTCCATGAGATTTGAGATCTGCTGGAGACAACCTAGTGAATACGAGTGGAAATGGCTCCTTAGAATCAGGCGTATGCCTGGAATAAAAGTAGGAGGGAACTCTTAAGTTACATATTTACTTTTTATGGGCTTGTTTTTGAAAAGTCATCAGAGCATGATAAAATATTTCTGCTGCTCTTCGGTATTTTGCTGCATAAGCTAGGACTCGTGACATGATCTAATAATGCTCATGTGAAAAGGAAAAGCCTCCTTTATACTTTTTACAACGAGTTGTACTCTTAACCAACTTTAGACTATTGCCTGTACAGCTCAGTGAATGTACTTTAAACTTTATGAGCTCTGTTATTTCCTGGCAGTTATATCCACGAAGGGATGAAGGAAAGAATGGACAGATTTATCTTCTCTCTCCTTCTTTCTTTATTTATTTTATTCCTCTCCTTCTCTTTTTCTCTCTCTCCCCTTTTCTCTTTTTCTTTCTTTTCCTCCTTCTCCCCCTTTCTCTTTTCCTATCTTGTTATTGCATTTGGATTGCAAATGTTCTGCAGATTTTGCACAACTGTACAGAAGAGTGGCCTTTCTGTAGCCCATTTTCAATAATCCTATATCCAAGTCTATATGGCTGACAAATCATGTATTAACATTTGTATAGAGTTCTGGATTCAGTGTAAGATTTGTACTATTAGAAGAATATTGTTTGTATAAACTGGACATTTATTTACTGCATGGGTACTGACTTGTATATTAAATTTGTGAGGTTTTTGTAAATTTCTCTTAAAAAATGCTTGACTTGAAATGGATTGTGCTATTGTTCCAAGCATTTAGATCCTCTTGCTATTGTTTTACTGGACCAAAAGTAAATATATTCATATGAAAACCTCTTTATATCTGATGGATGTATATGCACATTGTGTAGTTGATTCCTTGTCAAAACCAAGGCAGTTCAGAAGACTTAGATCTGTTGCTATGCAACAGCCATTCTGCCTGCACTTTACATTAGTAAAGTTAGCTTGATTGCTTTAAAGGTGAAAATTAAACATTACAGTTTTTTAAGCTAGTCTAGTGACAAAGAACATGTGTCCTCTTCATTGTGCTGCCTTCTTTTAAGAGTATTAAATGTTCTTCTATATATATATTTTTATTGTATTAACTCTCGGCCTAGAAAGGGAACACTGTAAAATGAAGTACAATAAATTTAGCTTTTAAATGAACGTTTATGACTCAATATTCAATTTACTCCATTTTGTAGTATCTGACCATTTTACCTGCATTTCACAGCTCCACGTACCTTTATGTACCTCTGTAATCCGAGTTCGAACTCTGCCAGCATGGCCAAAAAGGGCTACTGCTGATTCATATGTAGGCAGACAGTGAATAAAGACTTCTGAAAACCTTCAGTTACCTCCCTCCCCTTTTTACTGTTTGATGAAAGTAAACATTTTTTACTGCAGGATTCTCTCATGTACCAGTTCAACAGCAATGAACAATTTTACTATTATGAGCCGGTGTGATAAAACACGGTTCGCTACCCTGGTAAAGTGTCAAGGCATTAGTTACAGCTTGTTACTCTTGTAACAAGCTTCTCACAGTCTGATAATAAGTATACTTATTCAGCTCTGGCCATCTAAACTAACATAGGGTTTGGATACAAATGAAAGGTACAGTACTAGTAGATTGCCTCTTTAAAATGACACAAAATAAGCATCTGGAAAGCATTCTACAACAAAGGCCACTGAGAGAGAAATGGCTTCTATCAAACAAACACTGTTTTGACTTATGGCTGTAACTGAGTCCACATAGCAAAAAATCCGTGCTTTCTGTCTAGTAATTTCCTGCTGGTTAGCGAAGACATTCTTGCCTACTATGTAGCATATCAAATAATACCTTTTCCTTGGCTACTAATTCTTGTAGGCATCAATTTTCTAGTCTTTATACAGCTCGCTTTCATTTTGCTTAGCCATAGCATAAACACTCAATAGCACTTTACCAACTGGGAAAATTACCTCTGATTAAGAAAACAGAAAAGTTGGATTATACTTTTTAATATATTTAAAATATGACTTGCAACACCTACTAATTTCTATCTAGGTATTACTCTTCAAAAGTCAAGGATTATGATTCTCACTGATTGCCTCTAAATATGCTGCTTGCTACATCCCTGCTCAGTGAGATCAACTTCTGGCTCTATAAATCCTAGCAGTGTTTTCTGTGCTGGAGCCAGATTTTCTTGCCTGTTTCCACCAAGCATTTGGCTCATCCAAGCAGAAATTCCACTTTCTCCCATTCAGTGCCACTGCAGTTTTCTTCTCCAGGACCGCTCCGCTTGCTCATCTCCTGGGATGGATGTTCCTCAGTGTTATGAGTTCAGCAGTTGGGCAGCTTCTTGTGCTGGCTGTCACTGTCCCGCTCATCAGCCGTCTCAGAGAGCTGGAGCACGGCACACTGCAGCCCACACCAAGGCAGAGGGGCTTTGCAGATCTCCTCCCAGCCATCATTGTCAATGTCGTAGCCAACCACGTCTTGCGTGGAGACTTCCAGCGAGTTTTGCCATTTCTTTCCCCCAATAAGAAGAGCCGTTTCCTCTACCACTGCCAGGCCATAGGAAAAACGATCATAGACCAGTGGTCTTAACCGGGTCCATTGGTTTTGGTCAGGGTCGTACCTTTCTATTTCAGAGAATGGTTCATATAATCCTAAAAAGGTGAATATGGATTCCCTGATTGTTGCCATCTGATGCCCAAACCGAGCAATGCTCATTGGGGCTCGTTTCATCCACTGCCCTTCAAGTGAGCTCAGAGAATATACATCATTGCTTGTGCTGGCTGGGGCTGAGTACTTGCCCCCAGAGATGTATATAGTGTTCTTGCAAACAGCACTGGCATGGCCATGTATCTTGCATGGCAATTCCCTGGCCTTCGTCCACCTGTCCCTGCTGATATCATAGACTTCTACAGACAAATGCAGAGATCCATCTTCACCCCTTCCACCAATGGCAAAGATGTCCTTGCCTAAGACACAGCAAGAAAACTGGCATCTCTTTTCCAGCATGCCTGTGATTTGGGTCCATGTGTTAAATCTTGGATCATAACGATGGACTTTGTTTGTAACCAATAAGATCTTTTCAGTTTTAGCGTCACCCAGGGAACCACTTTCTATTTCCCCACCCAAGACATAGAGGAAGTTCCCCACCACGCACACACTGTGGTTCTGCACCCTGTCCTGCAGCTGTGTGAGAGTTCGCCACTTGTGATTGTAAACATCAAATGCCACCACGTCAGTGACAAGCCCCTCACTTGCTGTCCCTCCCCCCAACAGAATGATCCGAGTTTTCTGGTTCCTCAGCGCAGTGGACTTATCCTGCAGCACAGGCTGTTTGAATACAGATGTGTGATAATTTATTGCTTTAATGATCAAGCACTTAATACCTGCTGAGAGGGACACTTCTGACTGCGTGTAGGTTTTTCTCAGCTCTTCCACTGGGATGAGACCATATCTTATGTGCTCTAAAAGGCTGCTTGCGTGATCCAACCTGGATTTATCCTGCTTCAGCCACAGCAGCACAAGATTCAACAGGTGGCTTTCTTTCACCATGGGGAGATCTGGTGATTGAATCACTGCTAGTAAAGACTTGAAGTTCAGCTCGAGAAGTCCTGACAAATCCAAGTCCAGCAGCTTCCAGACATTATTGATGATGTATTTTTCTGTTGCTGCTAAGGCATCTGGCAGATAGAACTTTCTGGCCACATTGGCAGAGAAGCAGCAGTTTTCCAAGGCAAGATTTTTTATTAAGTACTGATTGCACAAACTGATAGCATCCGTCACTTGCAAGTAGCTTGCAGCTTCCAAAGTGTCCTCCAGGCTTTCAAAGGAAAGGGGCAGCAAGGATGTGTAAATGAAATCCAGGATGTGCTGGAGACCAGTAGGTGAGACAACTTGCAGATGAATGACACTGGCTTTAGACTCTTGGGTATAGCTTTTGAACATGGCTCGGAAGTAGTCGCTGGAGCATGCCAACAAGGACTTGTGTGCAGGGAACTCGTTTTCTTTCACTTTCAGCAAAATATCGCACAGAAATCCCTCCGATCTCAGGCTCTGGTACTGGGCAAGCACGGCAGTGCAGTGTGCTTTACAGTAGGACAAGAAGTAGCTCATGGTAGAAAATGCAATGCTTTCCCCTTGAGTTATTAGAGCTAAAATGCAATTAGATATTGAAGCAGCTGCCTTACTCAACAGCCATTGCTTGAATGCCCAGCAGACCTCCAGTTGTTAGAGAAAAGCCCAATCAAATAAAAAAACCCCAAAACCAAAAAAAAAACAAAACAAAAAACTCAGTCTCTTGCCTGGCATAGAGGGACAGTTAGTAGATTTGTAGTGAATTCAATGCATTCCTTTATAGAAAAAACAGCTGAATGTCATAACAGCTGTATGATGCTTACTGTTCTCGCCTCCACAACTTGTGCAAGGATGAAGAGTCCGTGGTTGTGCTGAGTACTTTCTTGGCTGGCCATCAGGTGACAGATGAGGGAGCTAGATGACAATCCCAATAAATGGCCCTTCGTGTCTGCTCAGCTGTGGCCCCCGACCCTTCTTGCTCCACAGGCAGATCAAATTGATCCTCTCCGGCTGTCAGCACGTGGCTCTGAGCAGACACAGATGAGAAGGGAGTGGTAGCTTTTCTCCTCTTGTTTGTGTTTCAAGCTCCAGCCAGTTTAGACCTCGTCACCCCTAGGACAGGAGCCCCCTTTTTGTTCTCTTTCCACAGTGTCTTGGGAAGCCTCAGCTGAAGATCAAATCAGTGCCCAGGGATTATTATGGCAGCATTTTCTAAGCCCATAAATCTCTCTCCGGCAGGCAATAAGACAACCAAAATACCGTGATTAGTCACTGGTTCGATTTGACATGCATTTCTGGGCTCTCTGCTTCACGTGACACCTCTATAACTCACAGCTACCAGAATAGCCACAGGCTCATTCCCTCATCCCCCTTGCCCAGGAGCCAACCCTGGGCAGGTCTGGGCGGGCGGACAGAGGAGCTTCCACTGACAGCCACAGCCAAGGCAGCTGACTTGGAATGACCTGGCTGGAAATCACAAGGGTAACACATTCGCACAAAGTGGTGACAAAAATAGATTGCCCCAGTTCAGCCATAATAAACCAAAATCTGTTTATAGAGGAGGCTTTGCATAATTGTGCTCTCAGTTAACAGCTGGGAACAAACCCGGAACCCCCAGGGATGGGCTGGAGCTGTCTCACTCAGCTTTCTCACTTTCAGTTTGTCCCAATTAGAAACACTTACACAGGGATTATCCCTGATTTTCACCTGGGTACTTCAGGGTCTAATTTCTACCAGGAATAGCAGCTCTGGGCAGACTACACATTCTGACCTCTTAAAGCTTGCTTTTATTTTTTCTTTTTTTCTTCTGCATAACTCTGGGTGCAGATGTTCAGGAATCTCCTCCTGACACCTTTCTTTCCAAATCAAACACCCTCAGGACTTGCAAACCTTGCCAGGGTTGATAAATGCCAGATAAGTTCTCTGCATCGTAAGCCAGCAGACCTGGGGGCAAAAGAAGATCCCACAGGACTGAAAAATACCACCGTTTGCTCAAGCCCAAGGTAAAGCCTTTTTACTGTATTTGCTTATATTTCTTTATGTGGTGTCATGAAATTTTGGCTTACCCCTGTAATCAAGGGGTGTTTCGGAGATGACTGGACCCTAATGTGGATCATGCATGCTGTATGACTGTTCTAGTGAGCTTGGACTGTCTTGCTAAGCAGACTGATACTTACACATGATCTGCTCTGTTTGTCAGGAAAGACTGCAAAAACATTGTTCTTCATTGCTGTATAGTTCTGAAAATTGATTTCCTGCTTGAATCCACTTTCTATAATGACATTATAGACCACAAATGGGGATTTTGTTAAAAGATCTTCCCCTTTGCTAGCAAAATGACATGTATGGGCAGTAGTGATGAAGGAGAAAAGGGATGCTTGTTTCTTTTTCCCAGTGTTTTTGCCTATGTCCAAGTTGGGATGATGCTAAGATATTTCAGATGTTAGCAAAGCTGTGCAAACAAGCTTATGTTTAATGCTTTCCTGTTTGGGAGGTAGAGACCAGAGACCAGGTACCTCTGTCACCCCTGAGCAGTTATATGTCCTCTGATGAGAGACCAGGCCTTAAATGCTCCCATTCCTAGAGATAATGCTTTCCCCATTTTAACCCCATAAGGTACCAGATTTCAATAACATGAGGTGCGGATAAACCTCTGCTGTTTTCAAACAGCAGGCAGCTGCTGTGCCATCGAAGTTTCCCTGGGAGCCTGGAGGTGAGGCAGGGGAGCACAGGGGCTGCACCCGCAGCACAGGTCTGAGTTTGAGGAGTGTTTCGGCAGTAGCTCTGGCTTATGCATCTCCTGGCATCACCTCCTCCTCACCAACAGACTTTATCTTCTATCAGCCCTACACTTGTGCTACCACGACTGCTCTGAGGTGGGAGGCTGGGAGGTGACACAACCAGGAAGTGATGCACAAAGAGGAATGAGGAAAATCCAAAAATAGAACAGCAGAGAGGTCTCTGTGGCCCAGGTCAGGCCCTTGGCCTCCCTCACTGTGTGACCTCCCAAGCAGATGTAGTGCCCCAACCCACAAAGCAGCAGAGGTGACCCACTGTCTGAGCAGTTGGCTGGGGACCCACCAAAGGGAGAGACCCTTGCC